TCTTTCAATATCCTCAAGATAAATAAAAGGTAGCTAAATTTCCATTCGTTCCTCGTAGCATGCCGCTGTTCTCTCTTTCTCTCTCTCTCTCCTCTCTCTCTCTCTCGCTCACTCTGTTCTTATCGATGAAAGATTCGCCACCTAGCGTCCATGCCCTGAAGCAAGGTACAGAGAGAGGGCGAGCCGGCAACGCGTTCCCATCCACCCCAATCGCGACTTCTCTGCTCCACCCCGTATCGTTCGAAACACCACAGCAAAGCACCACTATCACAGTCATCACGGTTAACAACTTGTCACCGACGTCACCAACACAGTTATCATCGGCACTTCCACGTAAACGGTCATCGACGTGTACTCGTCGTCTCACGATCGTTACAAACGAAGAATGACCTCTCTACATTCTACATCTTTCCTTTTTCAAATATCAATTAAACGCATGAAATGTTCTTTGAGAAAAGGAAAAAAAAAGACGAAAATTATGATCGACCTCGATGTTAACGTTTGCATCGATCCCGTTCGAGACTACCGCCACCCCTCTTTATGGAGTCACTTTAAATTGGTGTATCAAACTGGGCTTGGATACAAAATCGATTCGTTGCTCGATAGATGCTACTTAAAGTGAGACATGAAATTATTTCTTTCTAACAAAATGACAAAAAATCAGGTTGAGTCGAAGAACATTTGCAGAAGGAGGCTCGAAACTGCCAATTATCGTGTTTGAATTACCTATAATTATTTTAGAGGATTCTTTAAACTCTTCATTTTTTTTTTTCTTTCATTCTCAAAGGAGAAACGAAGTGTCGAATCATCGTAGATAACGCGATCTCTTTTTTTTCTTTTTTTTGTTTTGTTTTGTTTTCTTTTTTTTTCTTTTTTTTTTTCTTTTTTTTTTTTTTTTTTCCTTTTTTTTTGCAAACTCAGCGGTGAAAAAGAAAAACAGAATTTGATGAATTATTCTTATATCATATATAGCGTTCAATACCGGCCATCTTGGGAATGCCTAGCAGAGAAAATGTTGCGAAAACGAAACTCGTGGGTTTTTCTCTTCCAAAATATCTTGTTTTAATCACTGAAAGCTTTCGATCGGACGTCATCGCGACGACTACGTCGAGTAAGAGAACGAGGAATCAGCCGCGCCTTCCAAAAGCTGCCTTATCGACCGGAAACACCACATTGCTCGTGGTATCCACGTTGGCGATAATACGAGAGACATCTCCGTGGAAAATATTCACCTCGTGGCCATCTTTCTTCCTAAAATAAAACTAGACTCGACTCGTAGATATTTGGCCATGAAAGTTTGCAATTTCTCAAACTAGGACCCCGTTCCTCCATCAAATATGTACATGTACGATAAAACATAATGGCTGCTCGATCAAACAAAGTTTTTCACGAAGCACCGAAAGTAAGATAAGCCTACACACTGCTGTATGTTTTACCGATCCAACGAAGAAGAAGAAAAAGAAAAAAAAAAGAAGAAGAAGAAGAAAGTAATCAACACAGAAATAGATATTGTAGGAGATATAGGGATAGAGAAGTCAGCCATCGTAGCGATGAACGTGTTCTTCCTGAAAAGAATCCTTGCCGTTGAAAATAGAGTAGGATAGAATAATATCGGCGTTGAATGGACCACGAGACGAGGACAATGTCCCATCACACCAGTAACTCTTTGAAGGCGTACTGCTGTGACAGGACAATATCCCCGGCTCTGGTACACATGCGTGATCTCTCTCTCTCTCTCTCATCTGATGATCGTGGCACTGAACAGTCCCAATACGTTGGTAATACACAGGAGTGTCCCTTTAAAGAAAATCCAAAGACTTTTTCTACATTCTGTTACATTCTGGCCGGATCGATTACTCGAACGCGACGCGCCAACTCGTCTAGGTTGCGTGTTTGTCCTCGAGTTAGCTCGTTGGATAAAAATACGAAGCTTTGTCAATGCGAGGTCGACGACGACGACGACGACGACGACGACGACGACGACGACGACGACGACGACGGCGGCAACAATGACGAGATTTCTTCTCGTTCGCGTTCCACCGGTCGGCAAACTTTGCTCTCGTCCTCGAAGAAAGACTGTTCCTTCCGCGTTTAGTGCGCGTATCGCTCGGTCGAGCGTCCCGACGGCACTGCGTCTCTCGATGGCGGTGCCGCCTCCGCACCCTGTCCCTCCCCCACCCAAAGTAGGAGAGAGACGATCGGCCACCTTGGAGCCCCACCAGAGCAGGACTCACCCTCGAAAGTACCGACGTACCACAGCTAAAGAGACTCTCTCTCTCTCTCTCTCTCTCTCTCTCTCGGTGAAGCTACGCGCGTCTCTACGTAGCGTAGCTTGCGCTTGCGCTTTGTCAAGTGCGCGCGCGCACCCCCACAATAGAAAAAGGAGGGTAGGCGAGTTACTCGATGTTGCCGTGGGGCCACTGCTGTTTACCGGCCATTGGAGTATTCGCCGATATACTGAAAATACTTCGATTTATCGCTACTATCGTGTCCTTCTCTGCTTTTGCTTTTGCTTCTACTTTTGCTCGACTTCTCTGCGAATATCTTTTTTTTTTTTTTTTTTTTTTTTTTTTTCTCGAACCTCCGTACTGCGATCCTCTTCGAATTCGACATCCCCTTTTACACTCTATTTTTCATATTTCTTATTTCTCGAGCTTCCGACAGGCTTGGCTATGGCGAACCAAGCGAACGGGGTCATGGCTAGAAAGAGCGTCGTAGTCGATCGCAAGTTTCTGGATGTCCCCGCTCTCTCGATGTCGTCCCGATCGATTTCGGATTCGTCGATGGATTCTACGAGGTCGTTGATACCGCGACTAACTCTAAAACTAATCGTGCAAACGTCTTTGTTCACATTCCTGTGTTACCTAATGGTCAAGTAACGCGGCGGTAAACTACGACGAAGTTTGCTTTACCGATCAAGCCTGGGGGGTGCTACCAGAGGAACGAAGAAAATAGGAGGATGAAATAAGCCGTGTCCTCTCCTCTTAATCCTACATCCATCGTGTGAAAATTTCCTTTGCTCCGATGTGTGCGATGTAGCTAAGAATTTTATGAGAGAGAGGGAGGGAGAGAGAAATCCCCATCGCGATCGATTCCTTCCGCGAGCTCGGGAAAGACGGTCTAGGGAATTCTCTAGACTAGAGAAGAAAAAGATTCGAGGAGAGGGATATATAGCAAGGAGATGTAACAACGAAGAGAAAGAGAAAAAAATAAAAGATACGAGGAAAAAAGGAAGGAAGAAAGAATTTTCGCGGGGATGGATCAGGCCGCACGCGGTGCGGCTCGGCGCGGTGCGGTGCGGAACGCGACAACCCCCGGAAGAGAGCCGGCTGGAGAGGGAAAGAACGGAGGGGCGTATTGATCCACCAGCTGCGCGTTCTCTCACCCTCTCCGCCTCCACCGTTGCCACCCCCACTATCACCAGAGCTTCTCTTTCTCCGTTCCTACATCGAAACACGTTCGCTCGTTTCTCTTCGACCCTCTCCGGCAGGCAGGCAGGCAGGCAGGCACTCTACTTGCCTCGGGACCTTCTCTCCGCGATCGTGCATCCCCTTTCTCGTCTCGCAAGCTCGACGCCGCACCCCATCCAGCGCGCACCCTCTTTCTCTCTCTGACCGTGCCCGCGAACGTGCACGATATATCCAAAGCGAACTGACGCGCGACCCGTCTTTTTCCTTTTTCCCATCTTCTTTTCTTTTTTTTTTTTGTTTTTTTTTTTGTTTTCTTTTTTCTTTTTGTTTCTATTTCCTTGCTTTATCCATTTTATTTGATCGTTCCTGATGTTTCTTCCTTTCTCTATCGCATCCCTCTGACTCTTCTTTTCTTTTCTTTTTTTTTTTTTTTTTTTTTTTCTATCCACGTCGTTCTCCCTTCTTTTTCTCCCATAGAGAGTTTCTGGATAAAGTCGTTCACGTGATCGAAGGAACTCTCTTCCTTCCTTTTCTCCTTTCCTTTTCGAGGATCGGCGTTCATCGAGAATGAAAAAACCGATGGAGAATCAATTAATCGGATTTTCTCTCATGCGACGATTTCATGAGAATAACTCATGGAGACTACTAGCTTGGCATTCGTTCCTCTATAGTTTGACAAACTTTTGAATTATTCGCCATTTTCTTTCGACGTCGACGAGAAAGCTCTCACCGATGTTTGAAATCGTGTTGGCTCATCGATATTACAACGATTCGTAAAGATCGATCGTGCCTTTTAGAGGGATCGGGGACGAGCTATCCGATTTGATTCTCGTGGTAAGCCTAGTTCGTCCTTGTTAAATCAAGAGCTAGTAGACAGGAGATATGTGTATGCATATATATATATATATATATATATACATGGAAATAAATTGGCGTTACTTGTATTTTAAGTAGATGATAAGAAACATACCTTGAGAACACGGGGGTTGCGCAAGTCGAAAAATCGTGGTACCGAAGGAATTTCGAATCGATGATAATCTCTGAGACTAAAAGCAAAGAAAGAAATGCTGACTAAGTGGTCGTTATAAAGAAACGGTGTTACCGAAGGACTTACGTTACATCGATCGTAGTCACAAACATCCTGTGGTAGCACATGAAAGTGATGGAAATCAATAGCGCCGCCTTCAATGCGAACAGTGGTAAGAACTGAAACGTACGATATACAATGGATAAAGAAAAGATGTAACGAGTATGAGATTCATATAGAAGAGTTTTCACGTGCTTAGTTAATTTTCATATTGTTAGAAATTATAGCGTATATAGTCCCCGTATGTTCGTATCAAAGTTGTTTAGTTGAAAGAGATAACTATATTTGGTTCCTCCCTCCCCCCTTTTTCTTCCTTTATATATATATTTTTTTTTTTTTTTTTTTTTTTTTTTTTTTTTTTTTCAAGAACCAATGTTTCGATCGAGGAGTAGGGAATTTCAATGTCCAATTTTTCGAACGTCCCTACTGCTCGTCCAAGCAATGGTAATTAGAACGTTCTAATCTATTGCTGTACCGATGAATCTGTGGGATTTATGTTTCAGCGCCGGCATGGAGGCAGCGAACGGTGCAATCGAGCACGATTTTCACAATGCTCTGGTCCCGATAAACGGTAGCCATTCCGGCAGTTCTGGTAGAAGTACACCAAACGGAGGTGATCCAGCCCCTGGAAAACTCTTTGTCGGTGGTCTATCATGGCAAACTAGTAGCGAAAAGCTCAGGGAATATTTTGGCATGTTTGGAACCGTAACTGATGTTCTCATCATGAAGGATCCTGTTACACAGGTCGGTTTTATCATCATGACTCTCGAGGAATTAGAAGGAGCGATCGCTTTATATGAGGCTGTTTGCATCGCGTTAGAGTCAATCTTTCTCTCTCTCTCTCTCTCTCTCTCTCTCTCTCTCTCTCTCTCTCTCTCTCTCTCTCTCTCTCTCTCTCTCTCTCTCGTTTTGCAAAATACGTTTTCATGGTAGACGTGCACGTATGACGCGTGCATCGTCCAATCGTTTAAAGCAGCAGCTTCGTGTATTTGCTCCCAAAAAGACCAATTTTTCGTCTCTTTCTCGATAGGTCAAATCGTTTAAAGCAGTTCTTTCATTGTACCTTCCAAGTATATAATATAAACGTACAAGGCGCGCGACGAGTTCGTTTTCAAGGAGATTCGATGCACCAGTTTCTATTCCTTTCACTTTTGCACGAGACTTTATACAGTAGAAAGTAGAAAGAGAGTTGTACTAATCGATGTAACTAATAGCTGAGAGAGTATAAAGGAAGTAGAACGTAATAGTACAATGTATTATATTGACCGTAAAAAAGTGACGAAGGGCAGAAATATATCGAAAGTTTGCTAAACGTAATTGGGGAAACACGTTTCGCGTAGGGGAATCGAGAATTACTTACGATCCGTAATTGATATTTAAAAATTTTATTCTCCTTGTCTTATATTTAACCCTAGAATGTTTGTCTTTAAATTAGCTTGGAAAGCCTTGCATGTAAATGGTAGTTTGGTAGCATTAGCTAATTGTAAATAACAACATTTATATATACATTATATATATATATATATTATATATATATATTTATTTATTTGTAATACGACTACTTTTTCGATGCAGTTAGAATCAGGAATATATACGGATACAGATACGCACATATATATATAGGTATATGTGTATGCATTTCGGCGATTGGAAATAGTTCGGTGAAAAGAGCAGGGCGAGAGACGTGTTTTCGCGATATTGCCCCAGGTGGAACGGTCGAGCGGCGTGTTTGAATTTAGGCGCAAAACGGAAAGAGACAAAAAAAAACAAAAAAAAAAACAAAAAACAAAAAAAAAAAGAAAGAAAGAAAAAAAAATCAAACTAAGTTTAAGAAAAGAGAAAAGAGAAAAGAATGAAAGCCCCAAAAGGTAGAGAAAGCGGACAGTCGTGCATCGTGGCCGTTCTGGCTTTATCGGTTACAGCGTAGTCGTGGGTTCGGTTTCATCACGTTCGCCGAGCCCGGCAGCGTCGACAAGGTGCTGAAGTGTCCCATCCACACCCTGGACGGTAAGAAGATCGACCCGAAGCACGCGACGCCGAAGAACCGCGCGAAGCAGGCTAATCGGACGAAGAAGATCTTCGTCGGTGGGGTGAGTCAGGAGACGAGTAGCGAGGAGGTGAAGGCCTACTTCAATCAGTTCGGCAAGGTCGAGGAAACGGTGATGCTGATGGATCAGCAAACGAAGCGACATCGGGGTTTCGGCTTCGTCACTTTCGAGAACGAGGACGTGGTGGATCGCGTCTGCGAGATCCATTTTCATACTATCAAGAACAAGAAGGTCGAGTGTAAAAAGGCTCAGCCGAAGGAAGCCGTTCAACCGGGTGCCTTAGCCCTCGGTAAGAGAGTGGTTTTGGGCGCGTTGGGGGTTAGATTGGCGCCCCAACCGCCGCTCCCGGTGGCCGCGGCGGCATCTCAGATCGTCGCCGCACAAGCGCAAGCCCAGGTACAAGCGGCCGCGGCCGCTGCCGCGGCTGCCCAAGTGCAAAACGCCGTCGCTGGCTACGGAAAGTTATTCGCTAGCAGTTATCCCGCGTTATCCGCCTATAGATATGCGCCCTATCCGATTCCAGCTGCGGCGGTCGCAGCCGCGGCCGCGGCCGCGGCACCTGCCCCGGCTCCGGCCCCTCCTGCGGCCGCCGCGGCTGCCGCGGCTGCGGCTGCGGCGAGTCCGGCCGCGGCAGCAGCTCCTGGCAATCCCTATCAAGGATACTCCCTGACAAACGTCGACATGTCGAGCTTCCAAGGTGTCGATTGGGGCTCTATGTACGGCATGGGCATGTACGTCTAAGCTCCTTCCTTCTGTCGTCACATCTCTATTTTTTCTCTTTCCTTCCTCAAATCCTTTGCTTCCTCCGTCTCTCCTCACACTACTCTCATGTCCCGTTCGCGTCGTTTACCTTTCACTTGTACCAGCGACTCTTTCTCTCTTCCTCAACCAACTTTGACTTGTCACCCATTCTTCCTCTCTATTCCTCTATTTTCTCTCTCTCTCTCTCTCTCTCTCTCTCTCTCTCTCTCTCTCTCTCTCTCTCTCTCTCTCTCTCTCTCTCTCTCTCTCTCTCTCTCTCTCTCTCGACCATCACCAGCCTGACCGCCGACGCGAACATTCGGAGAAATCGAATGCGAGATTTACAAGTGCCTGCTGCTTATCTCTCTGGAGTCTACGATGATGACAACAACATCAATAAGAAGATCCTCGTCTATCTTCGCGAGAAATATCGAGGCAACATCGATCCTTTGGTAGAAGTGCGAACGCACGGCGCGAAGCGGCCGGACCTTGACATATTTGTTATCTCCTTCAAGATCAAAAGTTCAAACCGATAAAGACTGGAATACGGGTATGTACCGCAGGATGACTGATCTCGTCGATTAGAGAGATAATCGTAGCCACGAATTCGAATTAGAGGAAGATGTAGCTGCGAACGAGTCGCGATATGTATATGTATCTCTAGTTAAGGACGAGGCGAGCGCGTGGAGAAAAAAAAGGGAATATCGAGGAGCGAGAAGGGAAACGCGATGCTTCGAGACGAATTCCAAGTTTTTTCTTTTCTTTTCTTTTCTTTTTTTTTCTCTCTTTTTTTTTTTTTACGTTCTCTTCATTGTTCTTTATTGTCTCGATTCGAAGCTATCACGATCTTTTGGTTTTTTTTTATCTCCCTATTTTCGAGTCGTACATTCGTATTTCGCGCTTGTCGATTCCCAAGTTCCACGTTCCCCGTGGCAATGTTACGGTCTCGTTGTTGCGGTCTCGTCTTGCGGCCCCGAACTTAATTACCGATTATCAATTAAAATATTTGCGTCACTGAATCGACCGAACCTTCGTTTAACTGGTCGTTCTCCTTTTTTAAACGCGACGCGTGCAAGCAATAAAATATACCGTGAAGATAAAAAAAAAAAAGAAAAAAAAAGAAAAAAAAAAGAAAAAAAAAACGGGGGTCAGGCGTGCGATACCGCCAACGAACGGGATAACACCTTCCAATGGTCTTTGTCTCGGTTTATTTAAATATTTTTTTATTCTTTCTCAAGTTATCTTTCTTTTCCGTACCCAGCGAGAATCTGCTCGTGCATTTTCCCGAGAGATAGTCGAAAGTATCTGTTATATCGATCGTATCAATCCCAACTACGATCGATCTTTTTTCTCGACTTTCGACACTCCGTATTTTTGTCATTCTCGGGGAAGCGTAACACAGCGACTCTACACTTTCCGTAAAAAAAAAGACACGGGGACACGAGAGATATTTGCATGTGTATGTACGCGAATATATATACACACACACACACACACACACACAAAGAGCATACAAAATACATACGTACACGTATATACATGTGTGGAAGGTCGCTTCGATCGACAAGAGTACAGACAAATACGTCTAGATATATGATGTATAGTGTAATACATATATATTTTTCTTCGAGTAACGGAAGACAATATTTCTCCGATCTTGGTCGCGCGTACATTAATATTAATAATAACTTTTTAGATGACGCGTTCGCGTAAGATTAGTTCTCTTGCGTAAAAAGCTGGGTTATCGTTACATTTACACAAATACACATATGCGCGCGCGCACGTACACACACACACATACACTCAGAGAGAACGAGACACATAATTGTACGAGACACAGATAGTATTTAAAAAGACATTTCGACATCCGTTTTGAAAAAACCGCGCGCGCGTGTACTCGATCGAAAATGACTATGAACAATTCTTTTTGAAAGATGATGTAACGGGAAGGACTTTGTTTTCATTGAATTGCAAACTCGGCGAGTTTACTTAAACGGAATAATTAGTAGCGGTAACGACAAACAGTTTTGATGAATAAGGCAAAATACTTTGTCTGCGCTCTATCCGCGCGAGTATAATTATAATATAATATAATATAATATAATAACAATAATAATAATAATAATAATAATAATAATAATAATAATAATAATTATTATTATTATTATTATTATTATTAAGAGAAAAGAACAAAACAGAGATACTCGTTCATAGGTTACGTTTTAACTGTATGTGTATATAAATGTATATACGTATGTACGTGCGTACTCGACATACGATAGGCTCTGCGTGTCTATCCTATGTTAAGTATTAATGTACGTGCGTGTATACGCGTATATATATGTATGTAAATTATATATATAAATATTCTATAATTATGTAAGTCGAGTTCGTGCGTTGAAAAACGAACTAACCAGGAACCCAAGATTGAGATTAGCTGGACGCGCGTTAATCAAGCGAGTCTAATTAGATTAATTAAATCTTTAAGTGCAGGATTAAGTTTAGTCATTAAGAAGCGATTAATTTATATACGAATCGTGCGTAGAACGCGTCCCGAGTTTCGTCGAAGTCCCAAACTTTCAATGTTTCGAACCTATAGGAATGTCAAATTCCCTCGGTCTATCGCGAAAATTTCGCTCCTCGTAGCTCAGATGCCCACCGTATATATTAAGCGATTCGATTGAGTGATCTTAGTTCGTTAGTTCTCCCACCTTGTATTTATTCATAATTATATATTAAGACTCTTCGTTATCCTAGCTTTCAAAGTAAAGTATTATACAACAAATACTCGTACCACGTACGATTTGTGTTCTATCTATCTGTCTGTGTATTTTTCTTTTCTTTTCTTTCGTTTATTAACAATTTTTGGCTGTGCAAGGCGAATTTAATTTTATAAATTATTATTATTTCGTTTCTTTTTTCATATTATTATTTCTCATAGCTTTTAAATTAATAATCGCTATAGACCGAGGAACGGTGAAAAAAAAGAAAACGAATAAATGAAAAAGTAGAGAGGCAAAAAGTTAAGGCAAGCAAAATATCAGGGTACGTTAAAACAAAAAAAAGTGGAAGGGGGGCAACGTTTATTATCATTATCATTATTATTATTATTATTCTAATCGTTATCGGATGTCGATAATCTCGGAACGACGTTTTCGTCGCGCGAGAAGGACGAAGGATGTGAGAAATTTCGAGCAATAAGCGTTAAAAACAACCTTATGAAGCATCTACCATATTACCACTTTATCAATATGTACCTATAACGATAATTTATAACGATAAGCGAGCGTTGCGTACGTTAGTCTTACAAGATGAAAATAAAATCTAGAGATACGAAAATGATATACTTAAGAATATGCTGAGAAAGAAGAAGGGAAAAGGACATTGAGGGTGGGCTTGGGGGAAAAGCTGAAAGATTAAATAAGCGAGAAAGGGAAAAAGAAAAGTGTGAGAGAAAGGGCATACGCGTAGGATGAAGGAGGAAGGGTTTATCATCCCTTCCGAACGACAAGTAATATTCTCTAGTGATATACACATATACATATATATTACTGTATATATGTCTATATATATATATATATATGTATATGTATATGTGTATATATATATATATTATATATATTAATTATATACGATATTATTATGACGATAATCATCCCGTATTATTAGCGACGAGAAAACTCGCGAGTGATGTTTATGACTTATAAATGAAAAGAATAATACATTTTAGGGATGTAAGGGATATTAAGCGAAAATAAGAAAAGGAAGGGATGAGTTGGCCGAACGAAGGAGCGTACGTCATCGATGATAAACGTGGCCGTGTGCGTGCGTGCGATAATGCAAACGGAAAGAGGAAAAGATGACAAAGTATTGGCAAGGAGAGACGAGCGAAATACCGGGCCTAAATTTTCACTTATTCTTGTAATCCGTCAAGTATTTTTCCCTATAGATTCCTTAATTTTTTCTTTCTCGATTTAATAATGAGAGATAACGCGCCCGGTATCGCAAATGTGTCTTCCCTCTCTCTTTCTCTCGCTCTTTCCCTCTTCTCCTGCTTCTCCTACTTAACAGACGGAATTTTTGCTTCTCGAGGGGAAGGAATAGAGAGAGAGAGAGAGAAAGAGAGAGAACACGAGTCTCTGCGTTATACGAACGCACGTATACACGTATAAGTAATGGTACGATCTCGGTTTTAACGAGATTAATTTTTGGAAGCATTCTCTCTCTCTCTCTCTCTCTCTTTCTTCTCTCTTTCTCTCTCTCTCTCTCTATCTCTCTCTCACTATCTCTGTTGTACGGCTTGCTCGTCGAAAACAGTCGAGCTTTCGTGATATTTGTACTTAACTATTAAGCCCACTCAAAGTTGGTGTGTTAAATAAAATAACACATTACCGATTAATCGATTATAACGCAATTATCAAAGCGTCGATAGCAATAACATTTTTGGTAGACGATTACGATAAAGTTTGGTGCGTTCGACTCGACGAGCAAGCGAACGAAATCGGCAATAATAAAAATCACGAACGGGGAAAAATATTAATCGTCGTCGACATTTCTGTGTTCGGAAATCGTCGATCGTTCTTCTTCAACGTTTTAATAAAAAATCGATAGAAAAAGGCGTAATAATTATAAAAAAAAAAAGAAAAAAAAAAAAGAAACAAGTTTCTGCGGTGGAAAACTCGTTCATCTCTAAGAAGACGATCGTGATTTCACGGTGCACGAACTAAAAAAAAAAAAGAAAAAAAAAAGAAAAGAAACAAAAGAAAAAAAGATATAAAAGGTAAAGACCATTGCGGTCGAGAATTCGTTTTCGATTGGAATGCGTCGAGAGATTCGATCGTTCGATCTCTGTTTCTCTCTCTCTCTCTCTCTCTTTCTCTCTCTCTCTCTCTTTCTCTCTCCCGATTTTTGTCTCTTCCGACAAGAGAGAAGGAAAGAGAAAGAGAGAGAAAGAGAGAGTGTCATAGATCTTTCTCTCTCTTTTCGTGCTTCGTTCCAATTTTTCATCCCGACGAAACGAATCTCCTTCCTATTTCTCTCTCATTTCTCTTGATTATTCCCCCCACCCCTCTCTCTCTCTCTCGATCTATCTATCTATCTATCTATCTCTTTCGTTCTCCTTGAAATTCATATCCCACGCCAAGAAAACACCACTTTGAATACATACCTACCTACTTACTACCACCAACGATCATATGTATTTTACACTGCGGATGTCGAGAGTAATTTATTATTAGCGTAGCTTGTATTTTGATGAGCGCTAACCACCTACTAGTTGAGTGTATGAATCATTAGGTGAAGCATGCTGGTTGAATTATCTTCCACTTAATCTCTCTATCTCTTTTCCTTTCATCGATATATCATATATATATATATATATATATATATATATATATATATATATATATATATATACACACACATATATATATATACATGCCTACGATCATTTCTCTATCGCAATGTGAAATAATTTTTGATTATTTATCTTTGGAAAAATAGAGAGATGCAAAATATCATTAACGAAATCATTATTATTTGTTGCAAGAAACATTGGTCCTACTTCGTCGTTTTAAAATGAGCCAGTAAAAATTTATATTATCCGAACATAATTACTGACTCATTCTGTGTATGTATATATATATATGTATCTATATATAAATCCTGCTTCCTTTACCTTTCCCTTACATTGGCCATGCGATCCAACATCGAAAGGAGAAAGGGATAAAGAATATAGATCCCTATAAACCTTTAATATCTTTGTGATTTTTTCATCTAAACGCTTTTTTAAGAACCGAGCTTTCACAGGGATATACCGAAAGAAACGATAAGTATGGAATTTATGAGTCGCGCCGAGTTTACTTTTGAAATCAAGATGTTGATCCGTTGGCCAATCCACTTTCTCTCTCTCTCTCTCTCTATCTATCTATCTATCTATCTATCTATCTATCTATCTCTCTAATCCGCCGTTTTTCGTAATCTTCCCACGTATTTTCTTCCATTCCATCGAATAAGTTCGTAACTCTCTCCCCCCCTCTCTCAATTTCTCTCTCTAATCTCTCTCGTTCCTACGATTTTTCAGTTAAGTCGTTTCTTTCGTCTCTTTTCGTTGCGAATATTCTCTCTCTTTCTTTCTTCATCCATCTCTTCTTTTTTTTTCGCCTGTGCTTTCGCGAGGAAGAAAGATGAATTATATAAAAATGGGACTAGGTATAGAAAGAAAGAGAGAGAAAGAGGGGGGGAGGAGAAAGAGAGAGTTGGCGAACGTAAGAAAAGATAGAATGTATCTCTATCTTTTCTCTCTTCAACCATTCGTTTTCCTTCGACAACCGAGACACCCTTAGCCAGCCATCCAACGCCTAATTGTGTAAAACCGATATTCGAAGACTTGTATTATTACTATTACGTATGATTATGATTATGATTATTAATTAATTGCCATTATTATTATCATTACTCTTATTATTCTTATTATTAATATTACTTATTATTATTCTTATTATTATTGTGCATCAGCATCGCTATTACTATTATTATTCTTATTATTAGTATCATTAATGTCATTATTATTAGTAAGCTACGAACACGCAAGACACAAATTCAACACACGCGATATACGGGCGCGTATTCTGACAGACACGTACACACGTATACAGAAAATAAAAGTAGTATAAACGCGGAGAGTGCGTGCGTGCTCGTAGTATATTCTTTCGTGACTATATACTTTGCCCTTTATTTTTCTTCGTGCCACTCGCATGTGCCATAGAGAACGCGCGACTTTCACCCTCTGGTCGTCTTTTCTTATTCGTCCTTGTGTTCACGCAGCAGGCCCACGCACACACCCACACGAAGACACGTAAAGATTAATAGAGAAACGCAGAGAATTTCATTCGTTAGGGCTGGAGAATTCACGTCTTCCTCTCACTCGCGCAGTCATCACACACATAGAAAACCCCAGCAGCAGCAGCAGCAGCATCAGCAGCACAATCTCTTCGTTTATTTAGTCGATTTTTACTTACTACACGTTGGAATAACGTCCCGAAAGAGAAGGGCCAAGGGATGAGAGAAATGCGCGCGCGAGAGCGTGCCGAGAGCTCGTTTTTCCTAGTCAAGGGTGATGTACCATCCCCCAGCCACCCCTTTGTACGTGTGCGTGTGCGTGTGCGTGTCGTGTGCGTGTGTTAAACCACGAGAGAAAGACGATCGATGGTGTGGTGTGATGCTATATATCGTTAATATCGTTTGGGGAAGCTACCGTCACGCCAATATTTTTCATTCAATTAACAATTAACGGTTACAATTGAAATGTAGAATCATCGGACAAGACTCCTCCTACATTGACAAGCTACTCTTCGTACAATCATATTTTTCAATGTTAATAAGAAAGCAATATGATGTTACAATTGTGATGGTTAATATTGGCCAATAATACTACCAACGATTTCAACCCCCGAACCTTCGATCCCTTGTCATCTACCGGGTGTTCATTGATAATAAGTCCTCAATTTCCGATTTCGCAACTATAACTTTGTATTTCACGATGGAATAACGAGTTTACGTTATATTATTCATATTACGATTTACGTTCTAAGGCACTGACACTTATTGTTTTTTTCGTACTTATTATTTTCTTTTTCTTTTTCTTTTTTAATTCCTTTATTAATTATGTACTTATTAAACATTCGTTGTATTTAACGTAAACGTTGTTGTACTTACACTCGCGACAATCAGTTGTTTTTGTTTTGACGAGAAAATCTCTTTTCATCGTTTAAATGATCGCGTCTGTTTGATCTGATTTTTCTTTTATTTTAAGTTAGAAATCATTTTTGTTTATTTAAAGTTCGTGATTGATAACGATAACGTTTTACTTGCACGCACGCATCTCTACACATAATCATGTTACACACACATAGGCATACATACAGCTATGTTCATCCCATTCGCATAAATTCCGTTGTTCATTAATCGAACGCAGGAGCGAGAGTAATACGCGACGAATGAAACGTCGAACAAAAGAAGGAAACAAAAAAGAACATGAACGTATTAATTAGTTTAGATAAATGCTTAGAAAAATTGCCAATAAAGTAGTCGTTTAAAACTGGTAGCTAACATCTTTGTGTATCTTCCCTGTATATTCTTTGACGATTCACCCTGCAATTTCCCAAACCCTCTTTAACAACAATCCAATGCCGTGCCTTTCCCTTTTTGTAATTCATTACTATTGTTATTATATTATTATTATTATTACTCATTATATTACCTGTAACTCGCCTAACCGTTCGGCAATTATTAGTACTTACTTTGGTGCCTGTGTATTTTATTATCTGTTCACACACACACATATACACCATATTCTCTCTCTCTCTCTCTCTCTCTCTCTCTCTCTCTCTCTCTCTCTCTTTCTGCCTATCTATCTATCTATCTATCTATCTATCTATCTATCTATCTATCTATTTGTTTAGATCTTTCTTCTCTTCCCAACATCAATCTCTTCCTAATCTGAGTATTTATCTTTGTGTGTATTTATTGTCATAATCATCAACGTCCTCGTCATCGTCTCGTCGTCCTCGATGTATATCAACGTATTCATCGCTACTACAATCATCATCATGATTCTCATCATCATCATCGACATCGTGATCATCGCCATCATCATTTTTGTTGTTCGTTATTAAAAGGCAACATCGGTCCTGTTTGTGCCAGTAGCGCTCGGCGCATGCCCCGCGGGGTCTCTGCTAATTGGCTAATTAATATTAAGCCGTAATTACCGTCGTTAACCCCGCTGGGCACTAGTTTCACGCCGCCCTCTGGTTGGTCAAAATTCCACGGATTGTCCTCGAGTTCATTTGCTCTCTCTCTCTCTCTCCCCCTCCCCCTCTCTGAGAGAAGGAAAAAATTCGGCAATTTAATGAAAATGAGACTAGTAGATTTCAACCTAGCAAATGACGAACTCTAATTTCTCAAATTTAACGAGTGGAGCAGAAAGAAAGAAAGAACTCCGAATATTCACCAATTTCAAAACGTTTTCCTTTTATCTTTAGATATATCCGATGGTTTTTACCCGACCAAACAGATAGTGGCGTTTTGCGTATATATTTCTAGCATATAGATATATATATATTTGGTATACACTTAGATATCCCTTTAATATATATTATTCCAACCCTTACTATTATCATCCTCCCTCGTTATCTTGCTTATCGAGCGGTTTAAGATAGCCAGTGGAATTGTTGTAGCGGCGCATGCATCTTAGCTAGACTGACCCTGGCACATTCTAACCGGCAAGTAAGAGTACAAATAAACGTAACTGATATATATTTATTCATTCCTCTTCTTCCTTCTTCCTTCTTCCTTCTTCCTTATCGTTTTCACTTTATTTCTTATAGACCTAGAGAAGTCCCATCCTGATCCAGAAAAAGAAACTCCATTTTCTCTCTCTCTCTCTCTCTCTCTCTCTCTCTTTCTCTCTCTCTCTCTCGTCATCTTCCTTCTCCCTTGCGAACGCAGTGATACATGTACTTCTAATGAGACATTTTTTAAGTATATCTTCGTTTTAACGAAGGAGAACGTTTCATCCCTTCTACCTCGTCTATCTCTTTTTAGCCCACCTCGTTGAAATTTATTGTAATAAGTCGATATACCGCGAGTTTCGTGGATATTAAGAAAAGAAACAAAATGGAGAAGAAGGAAACGAATTGTCTTGCCTTTGATAACAAACTAATGATCTCAGCTGTGTTGTACATACATACATAGGTAGATACGTATACCGTAATGCGATTTCTAATGTATTACGGCTAAGCTCTCCGAAATTTCGGAAATTTTCTGCGCGTTTACTCGAACGTGTGTCTGATAGTAGTAATAGAAGGTATCGTGCGCATTAAAGAAAATCAAATAATGGTAATACACGCAAAAGGACAAAACTTTCTCTGTCGGAACAATAAAATGCGTGATAAGTTAACCAAAATTCATTTAAACGTTCCTCCGTTTCTAATCGTTTCTATCTCCTTTATAGAGAAAAATAACAATTAATAAGAAAAAGAAAAAAAAAAAGAAAAAAGAAAAAAAAAAGAAAAAAAAAGAAAATAGAGAGAAACGCAAGAAATAATCGTGAAAATTTTCTTTTAGAATTGTTAAGTTACGCGTAAGAAGGAGCAGGACCCGAAAGTAACGTGAGATGCGTGCGCATCTTACGTAGAGACGATGAGAGAAAGGGTCGAGATCGGGACCGTATTGGTAGGGATAACCTGCCTCTGCATCGACGCTTTGATTCATTATATATATAATATATAATCGCGTTGGGTCTGGTACTTAAACCTTCAAGTTTCAACGATTAGTGTGATTAGATCGTTCAAGATTAGAGTAGATTAATATTAGCGTGTTCTCATAGTAGATCATCCTAAACGATATATTGAAATATTAGTCTTATCATTAATTATTACTACATACATATCAGCAGAATTTTTGAAAGAAATCACACTTTTAATACTTTCTTTTTAGATAAAGTGTGTTTTTCGCGGTGTGTGCGTGTGTGATATATTAAGTAAATATCAAAGAATTTTTAACTCGTACATCGCGATTAAAAAAGTTCGATCGGTTAATAATTATCGCCCATGTATTGTCATTCATTTAGTCATATTTCTTTATTAATTCCTAATACGGGCGTTATCACTCGAATCTTATTTCCTTCTCCAACAGTTTTCATTCCTCGTTTAGACCTGTTTCTCTCTCTCTCTCTCTCTCTCTCTCTCTCTCTCTCTATCTATCTATCTATCTATCTATCTATCTATCTATCTATCTCTCTCTCTCTTCTCTACGTGCAAACGAATCTTCCTCCGTGAGTATCGGAATAACCCGTGTGCCTTAATCCAAACCTTTTTACCCATCTTTTACTCCCGAGTAAGAGCGAAACGAAATAAAAGTAACAAAAAAGAAAACAAAACAAAATCAAAAGAATACTAAGGACGATTTAGATGCATATTAATCCTATAGGCAGTAGAGAGTTGTGTGTCGATCGCTAGAGAATCCGCCGATCTTCGATCTCTGGGTTGTTCAAAGTGACCGGGGCGAAAGGACGACGTGATCAGGTAAGAAGAAATTCATTTTATTCTTTATCTCTACGTATATACTTCGTTCTGTTTACCTCTCTCTCTCTCTCACTCTCTCTCTCTCTCTCTCTCTCTCTCTCTCTCTCTCTCTCTCTCTCTCTCTCTCTCTCTCTCTCATACTATAAAATATAGATACATCTATCTATCTTTCTATCTATCTATCTATCTTTCTATCTATCTATCTATCTCTATTTCTCTCCTGTAGACGACAAATTTAGAAGTACACTTAGATAATCGTATATTTAGCGTGTTTAGTGCAAGCATCATTTGTTGAAACTAACAAGAATTTGAGCCAGTTTAGGAGTTCGGCTAATTTACTAGCACTCTGCTTTCGTTTTCTCTCGATCATGGAGGAAACGATGATGCATCGGATGTATCACGCATTATTTGATAATGAATGTAATAGCGATGTGTCTTACTCTCGGGTGATCGATCGGTCGTCGATCGGTGGTCTACGCGTGTAGTTTTCCAACAAATTGAATTTTCCGAACATTTTTTTAACGAATATTTTTCTATGAAAATTCAATCGGATTCTCGTGTCAATTCTCTTTTTAATTTCTATTTCTTTGTATCTATTAAATACATTTTATTTCAGATCAATGTGTATATCACAATCAGCAACTACCAAATTTTCTTTTCAAAATTCTTTTAATCCATTTTTAGAATATATACGACGTTACGACCCTGATAGACCGAGCGTTCCCTCATCAGCAGCATAAAATAGCATATATTAACAATGTAAATGCTACTTTCCTTGATAGTTTAAAAGGTCAATTTATCGAGTTGGTGGTACGACGCAAGTATACAATATGCATGCGTAATAAAGCCTATGTAACTAATCGATATATAAACCGATTGTCTCGTATCTGTTTTTTTTTTTTTTTTTTTTTTTTTTTTTTTTTTCGGATATGATAAATCGTTAATGAAGTGAAATATTAAAAGAGAGAAATGATGCAATTATTGTTGATACGAGACAATGGAACGTACGATGAATGTGACAGTGGAGCCTATACTTATAGTAGTCGCATGCGTGATTTGAAAAAAAAAAAAAAAAAAAAAGAAAAAAAGAAAAATCGTTGATCTCGGCAACGGTGAATGCCTTTACTGCCATCATCCATTAAACCAACCAACAACAACCATTACCTCAGTCGACGGCGAATATCGAGGGAACAGAATTATGGAGAAAAAAAAAAATAGACGCGTTTCATCGACGCATTCGACACACGAAAGTTCAGATGTCAATTTTTATGCGAATCATTTTCGATAGTCGGTGCTTTGAGAGAATTCTTTAAAAAGTTGTCTATTAAATTCATTCTTTTTAATCATTTCTACGAATTTATCAAAAGATTAGAATTAATCATATATTATATACAGGGTGTTTCAACTAATTTATTTCTATTTCGAGTACGTAAAAATGTTCGTACAAATAATATTGACCATCAGTTTGAAATTTTGAAAGAAATGTTATCTTTTTTATTTTTTGTTTTTATTTATTGTTCTCTTTCTCTTATATTATTTTTTCAAAATTCATGGGACCCGCGCATATTTCATAGCGCTTTTACGAAGGTCGATAGCCTTATCTCTGGCGTGTACCGGCGTCTTGTTCTTC